CAACAGAGGATACTGCGCACCATACAAGAATCACTTTCAGTGAGTTCCGATGAATTACGAATGATGACTACAAGGTGGTTGCTCTCGGCAGAATTACTGTACACAGTGGTTCAAAATGAAGTATTGCAGATCTTGTTCCGTCGGTTGTCGAATAAACCGAAACTGTGTCTTCCTTCGCGTGATATATTCTATGCATTTGCTGATGGAGAATTTAAAATATTTGTTGATAAAGTTTTAACAGATCTCCTGACAGAGTTCGATTCATTGCTGCAGTTGCCGTTTCTCGCCGTACTCCATGATCTTTGGACAAATGCTGCAAACATCTTGTGACTGTGCTTTTCATTAACTCAAAATGGCGTTTAGTGAAACTTTCGCTTTTGGGGTTGCCAAATCCTCACGGACATGCAGCCACATTTGTTGCCGATCTAATCAAGGCAAGTATCCATTGCCGGTACGGCATTGACATGGACCGCTTCTCGCGGTTTACCGTGAGTGATACAACGCCAAGCACAAGGAATGTGTCGGATCATTTCAGGAACACTAATCAAGTTGACTGTTTGATGTACCTGCTCAGTTTGTGTCTGCTGTAAGGACTTTGTTTAAAAGAAAACACAACGGAAGGGGGAGCTGTTATTGTGACACCCGGCGGTGAATTCAGCGAAGGGAAACGAGTTAGTCAGAAATTACTCAACTTACCACAATTTTTAAATCCACTCTGCGCCAAGCAAAATTAAAACAGTTAAAGAATTTGTACAATCTTCCCGCTGTCAACATTGGAATTGGCGCAAAGACTAGAGTCGGTTATGCCGTCAATTTGTTGCGACTTAGTGTGTACAACTATTACACCTTTTTCAAATTTTTCGAGACCGCACCTCTCACCGATTAAGTGATTTGGTCTGATATTTCATCGGAGGTGTGGAAGCTGATTACTGAAGTGGAAGGGCTGACAGGTCAGCTAGCTCAATTCAGTCTTGGTGAGGTGCAGCGTGAAGGTGTTTCTAGCTCTTACGCCCTTCTTTCCGCAAATTGTTGGTAATGGCTGTGGATGCGAAGTCGAATTTCCCGGTGTCGCTGTATTAGCCAGAATCTACGTCGCCAAACCAATGTCTTCTGCAACACAGGAACGCTTTTTCAGTCTTAGCGGCTACGTCGTGAGTGACTTGCGACGTCGTTTGGATGAAAACCGGGCAGAGATGATGTGCCTAATGAAGGTGAACTGGTCAGAATATAAGAATTTGCTCAACGAATGTTAGATTTAAAATCTACAGGTGACCACAACTAATATCAGAATATATATTATTTCATTGATTCAGTATCTATATTAATATCAGTATCAATGATACCACCTACACTAGTGAATCAAGGCCAACGATACATGAAGAAGTGCCTTTGATATGAACCCCTGACCTGGGTGACCTGCGCAATGTGGTTCGCGAATCGGCTTTTACGGGTCACGAACAAGAGTTCGATGCTTTTACCTTTACGTGGAGGAACGACACTGAAGAGACCTTATCTGGGTAAAGGTTCTGATATGGACCCTTTTCTCGTCGGAGTCACGACGAAAGCGCTTCTCCGTAAGGCGGACCGTGAACCAGCAACCTTTGTGTTGCACATTGGCGCAATATTTAAGTTAACTCAAGTCGACTACCCCGTATTTGTCGTGGGCATCTCCGATCGAGCTAGAGGGTTTCATCTTCTTGTGATATTTACT